GAGGTCAGTAAATATTGGTTACGAGTGCAAACTTTCAGCACAACAGCAACAAACACACGTTTGCACACAAAGACAAGACAAGGGTTAAAAAAAAGACTTTAGAGGAAGATGTATATTCATATCATCACACATATATAGAGTCAACTCTGCATTTAATACATCCAGCCATCCTTTAAGAGGCTGTGGACTCAACTCCTGATCTATGGCTATCACTCAAGTAACATTCTAAAGATATTTTACTTTTGAAGAAATTGTTAGTGTCAGATAATATGTTTAAATGTTGAACATTATTATTTCTAATACAAAAACAGGTTAACAACTTAAGTATCTTGCTGATCTTTGAAATGTCCTTTAAATCAGAATTACTGCAATAACTAACGATAAATTAAAATGATTAATTATTCAAAGGTTTTTGTTTTTTGATGTTGGTAAAACTTCCTAATATTAAATATGATTGATGCAGTAGTTTAACTACTACAAACAGCTTTATCCTAGAAGAAATATTTCAAATGGAATAGAATAGAATAGCCTTCATTGTCATTGTAACACGGGGGTACAACAAAATTGAAGGTGCTCCCACAGAGCCACTACGCACCACAACAGGAGAAAAAGAAAACAAAATATGTATAGAAGAATATATACAGAAAAACAAACCTCGTAATGTAAACTGTAAAAAAAAAACACTTTAAAAGGATACCAGGAGGTAATGCAAGTTGAGCAGAAAAATAAATATAGAAGAACTGAAGTTTTAATATTAAAATTGTGCATTTGTGCAAAAGAGACTTTAAAGTGACCAGTGTCTGTAAAACATTCTTGGTGTAGGTAGATGAGGTGATAAGTGTTGGAGCTGTTGGAGGGGTAAGGGGTTGTTATATGTGGTTACTATTTCTGTGTCAAGGCAAACTAGGGCATTGAAACTGAAATATGACAGGGAAGGATGAAAAAAATGACACAATCTGTGTTTACAAACACAAACCCAGGAAATCAATCCAAAATAAAATTTAAAAAAATGATTCAGAATATATGTTTAGTATTATACTAGAAGTAGAATAGAATAGAATGGTTGGGTTGTTAACTCACCAGTCAGATCACTACTCTCAATGCGTTTGAGGTCGGCATCGACCCAAAACAGTTTTCCTAGTTTATTGTCCAGAGCCAGAGCCACAGGTCTGATAAGACCAGTGGTAAACAGAGATTCTCTCTCTGTCCCGTCCAGACTGGCGCCCTCTATCTTCGCCGAGCGCTCCTGCAATGTGGTGAAATACATGTACCTGCAGAGACACACAGGCACAACTATACATCACACTGGAGTACAACTGTTTAGTCTCATGCTATCACTAAAAAATATATATATATAAAAATGTAAATATAAATATATAAGGGTATATTAACATGTATACTGTGTATAAAACTATAAATGTACATATATATTGATATATTTTTAGGAACAATGATGTCCAACCCTACCCTTTCTCCGCGCTCACTACAATGGCGCGGGGTTTGTCAATGTCGTCCTTTAGGACCACACCCACAGTCTTTCCGTCCATCCTCTGGACTTTGATGGTGTTGGTGGTCTCACAGGTCCAGTAAATGTGGCGACTGTAGGGGTCCAGGCTGAGGTCATGAAGCTGATTGTCCACAGATTGTACAGTGCTGCTCACAATCATGGACTGGTACACACACACACACACACACACACACACACACAAAAACATATTTGTCATTATAAAGGCACTGTCCTATAGTTTTAACGTGTTTCTTCTCTGTTTGCAGTAGTTTTGTAGGTAAACCCAAATACTTTGATTTTGTTTAAATTGTGAAATTTCAGTTCAATTTTTCAAGGATGATTAAATGCGAAAAAACAGTAGTAAGTGGTTGCAGAAAGAAGGTTTTTTTATACTTGGCATACTTGAGCATTGGTTACATTTTTTAAGAGCAATCTCAACAAACTCTAGGACTTGGAGATGCTGCTTTTTGATCTTGGCGTTTTCTTCTTGGAGGTCGTACAGGATTGTACCAGGGGAGGTTACTTCAGTTTTAGCTTCAGGTAATTTTTAGTTATACACTGTCCACACTGTCAGAGTAGAACAAGTTTGAGTGACTGACTTCTTCCCCAGTGACACTACAGCGGACAAGAGACCATATGGAATTCTATACAGTAATTACAGCAGCTGAGAGTGAGATTAAACCAAGACGTCCAGGCCTGGATGCAGCCAGGACCATAAGACCTGCTCATTGTTTTTTTGGTCTTTAATCCTTGACCCTAAATAATTAGGAGTAGGGTTAGGGTTAGAGTTAGGGGTATCTGTTTTGACATGAGACATATGAGAATATTTTATTCACCATAGCGCCATCGTCCCTGGCCCTGCGAATGTTCTGCCGTCCATCCAGCCAGTACACAAGGCGATCCAGCGGGTCGTAGCTAACAGCTCGGACGTTCCTCAGGACATGGATGGGCAGAATGATATCGGGACTCTGCTCCCCCAAAACCATCCTGCTGATGCTGGCTTTTTGACTGAAGAGCAGGAAACTGGAGGGAGCTGCACACAGAAAGGAGGCAACATGGGAGAAAGGCTGAAGGAATGAGAAGAATGATTACTTTGGGTGAACAGTGTTTTTTCAGGCAACAGAAGAGACAGATTGACTCAGCACAAATTGTGAAATACACAGAAAAACCACGTTAAAATGTACATCCACATTACACACAAGTATAGTGTATTTTTGACAATAAAGAATAGAAAGGGTGATATGCATAAACAATCGTGAAAAAAACCTGATCGGTCGTTTCTGGCTAAAATTTCATTTTTTTTGTATGATTTTCACATTAAGGTTTAAATGTGACCACAACCGAGAGCCACATTCAACAAAAATGTGTTACACACCCACATCTGTATTGACTTTGCACTGTAAAGTAGCCTGAAATCTGATTTGTGGCACTCACACTGTCATCATCATATCTGTGTCACACAGGGATGTGGACTTCACTTCAATGTAAACATACATCAAAAAGATGAGACCTTCATGTTTTAACCCTTTAAATGCTTCAAAGAACAACAGATGTCTTAAAATTTTTTTTTTTTTTAAATGCAAAGGCTTCAGCGGACTGAATTCATGTGATTCTGTTGTGTTCTCTCCAGAACAGTTAAAGTCTGTCTTTGCAAATAGAATAAATATTTTCTTTCCAAATAATCCAGGTTGCCATTCATTTCTCCAGTGTCTTCCACCCAGAGAGCTGCTCATAGTGAAACAGATGTGAAAAATTAATCTTTCAACAGATTTGAGCAGACACAGCCACTCTTTAGTTTTCTGGTCAGATGATTTTGAGTCTAACTTACAGCTACAGTTCCTTCCATCAGGATTCAAGGTGTAATGGGAAGCGCAGCGACACTGGGCTCCAGCGGGCGTGGCCAGGCAGAGGTGGGCACAGTTACCGTTGTTATGGGAGCATTCATTGTTACCGTCCTGGCGAGAGGAGTGGAAGACCAGGATGTCCAGCATCAGTTCCAGCTGCCCCTGAAGAAACAATGTTACAACATCAAACTCAGTTGTCATGGTAAACAAAACTAACAAACAAAAAGAACATTTTTTTCCTCCTCTTTCAAACCTAAAAACCAGATAAATAAGACACAATGACAGCTCACACTATAATGTCAAACTCAAGAGGTTTTAAGACTGATGTTAAATTTTTAAAATCTGTCTGATATTATTAACTAAAACTGTTAAGACAATACTACAAAGAAGGATTTCTCTGATGGAAACACAACCTGCAGAAGTGATACAACTATCTACACATCAAGTAGAGAGTTTTGTTACTTTAACAAAATCAAGCTTTTATTTTATTGTTACATTTTTTGCCTCAGAAAATGTCAATAAATTCTAAGCAACCGTAACATCCATGAATGTAATGGTACAACTTTGATACCTGCAGCACCACAGTGCGGTTTTGTCCACTGCGTTTATCTGCCCGCTCAATGCTACGCAGATTGAAGTCGGTCCAGTAGATGAAGTCTCTGTACTGTGTCAGACCGAACGGATGTGGAAGGTCATCTATGATGATCTCTCTCTGAAGACCTGCAGAAGACAAACCTACTGCTAAGACCCACAAGTGGTGCTTTGGACCCAGGAGATCCTGGGTTCAAATCCCAGCAGTGCCTTACCTTACATATATTTACAATTATGATTATATTACACTTGTGCAGTTAGTGCCCAGGTCTCTAGTTTTTACTACTAGAGACCAGGGCACCAATGCATAAGTGTAAGTCTTAGTTTCCAGGTTATGTGTATGCTTTGGCTCAAACCTTGCATATTGGTGCTTTCAATCATACACGTGTCCAGGTCGGTCCAGTAGAGCCGATGATCCACATAGTCAATGGTCAGTCCATTGGCACGACCCACTTTATCCACCAGGGTGGTGATGGTGCTGCCATCCATATAGGCTCTGGCTATGCGAGGACGCCCCCCCCACTCTGTCCAGTACATGTAGCTGACAAAACAAAACCTCAATTTTAACTAGGGGCACAAAAGAAGCCACGCTGCTTATATCTTGTCCAACATGTTTTTATAAATGAGATGTAAGGAAATCTGTTTCCACTTTGTCAGTTCTGTTGAGAAACTCTCAAACATGTGAGTCTGTTTGATCATAAAATTACATCAGCCCCCTCCGGGACACATGGCTGACAGCTCTGGACCGTAGCATTATGAAGACATCACTAAATGAGAGCGTGAGAGATTTTGGCACATGGCCGCAGGTATTTAACGTTCTCCGTGTCTCTGGCTGTGAATGAAAAGCAATGTTTTAACTGCATCCTGGCTCTCTCAGCTAGAGGTGGTGGTAGCACCAACATACCAACACACTGATGTCACCACTCTCACTGACCCACATGGAGAGTCAGGAGACACGCTACATGAAGTCACTGGGCACTGACGCAGACGCCTCAAAGGTAACAGTGCAGGTGTGTAACAGTGAATCACTTCCACACAGTAGTTCATCTGAAAGAGCTCGACAAGTGAGGCTTGATCACAGCAAGGAGTTTCAACCTGGGGGGCAAAATGTATTCCAAGCCAGTAGAAGTAGAGGCATAAAAAAACATGGCATGGATTAATATAGGAATCTGACTGAGTCAGTGATGTCTTTGATGCCAGCTGCAAAGTCATTTATTTAGTGTCTTAGTCACTAATTAGTAACATGATGACAGTGACAGACTGGGAGGTGGGTGAAAAAGTAACAGTGGTCAATGTTGCCGTCTCAGAGGAAGTTAAATCATGGTGTAACAAAAAAAAAAGACATCTTCAAGTTAAATAAATGAATAAAACAATCAATAACCTGTGGCAATCATGAATCTAGAAATAAGGATTTGAATTTTTTACAAAGAGTGAGCATGGGAAAGCTCACTGCTTGGAAAAAAGAAGGCTGGGTTTACCTGTTCTATTCTGTTTCATTTTATTTCATTTTAATTTATAAAATTTAAATATTTTGATTCAACTGTTTTTCTTTACCTAAAACATTAAAACTAAAAGTTGCAACATTTTTTGGTTAAAAATGTTTTTCTTCTGGTTTCCTAATAAATACAAAAAATAACTTAACCTAGTCAAAACACATATTTTACAATGTGTTTTGTACAAAAACGTTACATATATGTTTTATTATTTGAGATATTTTATATATACATATATATATATATATATATATATATTTCATCAATACCAACCAAAATTGTAATTAACTGATGAATATAACTGTTTATTGGATTTCCATCTGTTCTTTTTCTAAGAGATTCTAACCCGTTTGGTGGACGATAAAGCTGTCATTACATCTGAATATATGTCATCTACCTGCAGCTTTTTTTAGTGTTAGTGAGAACATCCAAAAATCCATGTTTACTGTAGTCTAAATACTGTATCTCAGTATTATGGGATGGTGCTGTCACACCCTACATGATTACCTAAATATCCAAATTAACATTGTAAAATATTATACTGGCTCTTAATTTTTATATTATTATAAGATGCTTTTAACACAGTGTATATCAAATAGCATTTGTCAAAATTATTTTCACACTTTGGCATCAGATAAATAAATAAAGATGTTTTGAAAATAATATTCCAGTCTGGTAGGAGTCAGGAAAAGGTTACAACAGTGGGTTTCATTTTAACTGATGCACCTCATCTAACCTCCTCCCTCCCCTCTCCTCCGTCCTCCCTCTTTCCTTTCTCTGGTCAAAGCTGTCAAAACACAACAGCGCACACTGCCTGACGACAGGTAAAAGTGGAGAAGTGGAGAGACAGCACTGGGAGGAGAGCTTTACTGATACTGAATTAACTGTGAGTTTATCAGAATAATAAAACACAAGTGAGATGGTTAATAAGTTACACCAATCCTGTTTAACTGATAAAATACTCCACTGACTTGAACTCTAATTTTCTCTAAGCTTCAATCAACTGAAGAGTAGAAATGACCTGCTCCTTCTTCTCCTCCTCAGACATATCTTGGTTTATCTCCCTCTTTCAGTGGATTTTCAATGTAAATCTATTTATTCAATGCTGTTCTTACCCGTTGGCTGGATCCAGAGCCAGTGATCGAGGATTGTCCAGTGAACGTGGATTGTCAAGATCCTTACAGACCAGAACCTGACGATACTGTCCATCCAAGCGAGCCACCTCGATGCGGTTGGTGCCTGTATCAGCCCAGTAAATGTTCCGGCCCATCCAGTCCACTGACATGCCCTCTGGGTAATCCAGTCCGAACTCTATAACGTGTTCCACTGAGCTTCCATTCATATAGGCCCTGCTGATTTTCTGGAGGACGGAAAACAGAGTGAGTGCAAACATTATGAAAACATTGTAAATATATTTTGTTATGTAAACATGAAAGCTCAATCTCTACCTTGGCCTGTATGTCTGTCCAGTATATTCTCCTTTCTGACACATCAAAGTCCAGAGCTGAGGCTTCTTTGACCCCCGTCAGTGGGATGGCTACGTCATTGCTGTTTGTACCCAGAGAGATACTCCTGATGTTGTCCCTGAGCGGAAAAACAACGACACACAGCGCTTAGTTTTTCTTTACATAAAAACCTTCACAACTTCAAACTCCTCCAGGTTAACATTCCAACATAAACATTTAAGATGAACACAGATACTGACACTGATACTGACACTGGATGCACAGTTTTCAGCCGTTTACTGACGACTGTCTGTAATTAGAGCTTGTGCCTGACTCCATTGTCGTTCTACATGCGCCCACTCATGACTGGTGCGCAGCTGCAGATTTCTGCTCTCCATGACTAACTAAATTGTGTTCAACAGCATCAGTTGCTCCACCCGCAGCACCTCCACACAGTTGTTTGCATCTTATTGTATCTGTTCCATTACTGGAAACTGCTTGAAAATGTATCCTACACAGAAATTCCTTTCTGATTTTTTTTAACCTCCTATGCACATTTTTTATCTATCCTAATGAAAGCTAAGTAGAAAATACCTGTTGGTAAAGAGCAGAAAGGCCTCTGGCACCACACAGGTCTGCAGGTCAGAGAGGAGCTCCATACCCATGGGACACGCACAACCCACACTTTGCCGACGCCAGAAACACAAGTGGCTGCAGCCTCCATTATCCACTGCACAGCCATTCGTACCTGGACACAGTGGGTAGTGTTTACTTCAACTCAGACAAGACTGTTGCAGGAAGTTGGTGTACGTACCATATGTCTCCGTCACTTTGGTGGCCTTCAGACCCATTAAATCTGGAAGCTGATCAATGATGATCTCTCTAACTGCAGTGGTTTTGTGGACCCTCTCGATGCTGCGTCTCTGCCAGTCAGTCCAGTAGATGTAATCTCCCAGCAGAGTGAAGCCAAAGATATGAGGGAGCTTGTCTTCTAGCAGCACTTGCCTGTTACTGCCGTCCACATTGATCACCTGCGACAGGATCAAAGACATCAGAGGACAGACATCAGAGGTGTTCATGTAAAACTTTAACACTTTTCTGAATGCTTTAAAAGAAATTCCTCTGCTTGATCTTGCAGGAACAGGCAAAAAACAAGAGCTGAACCATAGGGTGTGTGTGTGTGTGTCGGTGTGTGTGTGTGTGTGTGTGTGTAAGTAGAGAGTGAGAATGAGAGACTGAGAAAGTCATCTATTACTAGTCATGTGAAAACTGATACAGACATCCCTGCTAACAAATCCCCTGCCGTGTGTGAGTGTGTGTTTGCTACTAGTAGAAAACGAGAGCTGCAATTGACAAGGCTGCAATTAGAACTTGTGTCCAGCCCTCCTCTTCTCCACCGCCTGTGCTATTACTGGACTGGCGTCGACTGAAATAGACACACGCTTTTATTTTCTACACACTACAGTCATCTGTAGCCTGCAGGGTGTGTGTGTGTGTGTGAGTGTGTGTGTGTGTACGTGCGTGCGTGTGTGTCTGTCATGCACTACTGATCTGACTGAGCAGTGAGCCACACCGGAGAAATTTGACAAATGGGAGAAATTCTGAACACTCCTACACCACTGTATGTGTAAAACAAACAGTTGTTAAAATAAATACTTGAAACCATCTCAATGTGTACCGATGTTTGACCAAATACAGACATCCCATTCACTGGATTATTTTAAAATAATAATAAGCTATTTTATTTTCTCCTTAGTGGCTTCTGTTAGTTAAGAATCATCTTTATTTGTCTTAAGATCTTGTACCTATTTAATTTTCTTATGGTTTTATTTTAATTTAAGTTTTTTTCCTATTAAGTTGACGCAAATTTATTCAGTGTATCTTAAATATCTTGATCCCAAAGGCTGGTTAATGAGCAGATATACATTAAATAATTGTTTAATAATTTTCTTTTTCCCAGTTCACCTTTTGAACATTGTACAACTGAGGTAGGGTTAGTGTTTAGTATATTCTAATAAGCAGCTTATGTGAACAATCAGGCTTTTATTCACAGAAGACTGCAGGACTTCACTAAACAAATTATTTCAGCTTAATTTTGTTATCACGCATTAGAGCCTGTGAGCCTCTGTTGCCATGAGGCAGGAGACAAAACGTGTCTAACCAGTGTCAATGTTGTTGCTTTGATGAGCAGCTATCTTTTTAATGAATGCTCATTTAAATATCCACTGAAATGGGCAGGGCTGATGGAGCGAGCAAGTAGAAAAATAAACCATTCACTTTGATGGGCCTCTGATCCAAGGGAGGTTCCTGACCTCTTCACAAAAAAGCCATTCATTTATCACTGGCACAATTAGATATGGCCGTCCCAGTGAAAAGATGGCAGGGACTCCCTTTCTCTGCCCTCTCCTGCTCGCTCTTTCTCTACGCTGGCTTTTTCAGGAAGAATTATGCACTGGGAGAGTGATTTTGTTCCCTGTCCTTTTTCATTTTGGGTGTGAGAACATCTCATTTCTTGATGGACACAGGGCAAAAAAAGGGACAAAAAGACAGAAAGCGAGGAAACAGAAAAGCAACAAAGGTCCCATCGGACACGCAGGAAGACATCAGCCCATCACAGGACAGTTCACATACGGATATTCCCTGATAAACAAAATTAATCACAACAGATGAATGGAATCCTGCGGAATTGCACTGTGTTTCACCCAGGACCTTTCAGGCATAAGGATATATCACTGGAATCACTGGATGTTAAGTGTGTGTTGAGTGTAGACAACGTGATTAAACTGACCTTCACTGATTATACAGCAGCTTTAAAATGTCTTCAGACACATGATGATACGTATGTTTAGCATCCATATTTACATCTGTTAACACAGCATGTTATCTCACTTCAGGGCAGTAGACTGTTCACACTGGAGTCTGATGACCTTACTATTAAACTGTGACATGAACAACCACATAAAAGCCTATGTCAGCAAAAAGGAAATTCTAAAATTCCTTCCTGCTGGGTTCAGTTCCCGCCTAGTCCCTAATCCTGGGTTGGGGTTTTGTCAGGGTCAAGCCTAAAATCTGAGATGGGACTGTGGGAAAACTGTACAGATCTGGAAATTAACCTCAGGAATATTTTTTTATGTCTCTGTCAGATAATTGGCCTCCAAAGTAAACAGATCAAGCCAGAAGAAGCCTCTTGAACAAGAGTTCATGCTAAAAATTAAAGAAGCCTCTTGAACAAGAGTTCATGCATTGTTAAAAAAAAACTCCAGCTAATCCAGTCCACCATCATTCCTGAGGACAGCAGGACCTGGATGCCTGAGAAGATTCCCAGACAAAGGGAAATGAAAACATTACTCAGATATTTTTTCATTGCACTATCACTATGACTCATAACACGAGAAATTTTGCTCATCATTGGCTTATGTTGAAATCAAATATTACTTCAGAACAGTGCTGGTCTGCAGTCAGGGGAACACACATTCATAACAATCATCCACAGAGGCTCTGGTTCCTATAGAGCAAACAGAGAAAGTAAAGATGCCCTGGGAGTGTTTACCAATGTGTGTGGGTGTTTCATAATGGGAGACTTCTCTGGAATGTGCAACCTGAGAATAACCAATGTTTGACAGACAATACACTCAACTCATCCAAGAAGAAATCCGGTTGTATTAGCAGATATCACAGCAGCCACCACCAATCTACTTGTCCACCAGTTACTGTCTCCATACTTTAAGCTGTGGTTCTATTCCACCTCATCTCCTGGAGTTTGTAAACTCTGTTAACTGAGAAGTTAGCTCAAATATGTCTGGATCTTCTTCTTTTCAACCTATGTTCCCCTTTCACAGCTGCTGCTGCTGGTTGACTACTGGACAACGTCATGTGGCTTGTGGAAAAAGAAGTATTAGTAATATTTTCAAAGTCATAAGTGGTTAGTGGAATGGAGTCATATGGAAGCATTTCTGGCAAAATTATTTTGGTCCTGCAATGGATAAGCTGATGAAGATAAGATCAGATGATGAAGAAGATAAAATGATGAAGGAAAGGAAAGAGCATGAACTACTTGTCATTGTGACACACCAGTCAGTTGCTGCCAAGTTATCACTGATAAATAAATTCTTAAAAAGTCACCAACATTAGGATCACGCAGCTCACTGTCCATAGACCTAGTATTTAGTTATTTGGACACAAAACAAATATATTATTATCTTATTTCCTTCAAAAGTAACAGAAAAAGGTGTCAATGCAAAACTTTTAAGCTGTTGATTTTTTTTACTATTAAGCCATTTTCATTTATGAATTAAAACAAAGTCACTAGTCTAATGTTACTCTTTATGTGGATCTACTGTTGCCTTTGTATTGTCTAGTTTTAGTTATTTTAATTTTTTATATGTTGTTATTTTTAACAATTCTGAAGACACGGTGCCTCTTAGAAACAAATAAATCTCTTTTTTGTGGTTAAAATAATGTAAAATAGTTCGTAACTATCAATAACAGTAGATGTAATATTAACACGTGTTTATCCATCAAATATCTCCAGACAACTTTGTTGCTCACTGCCCGTCTCTGGAGGCGCCTTCATGTGTTTGCACCTCCTCGGCTGCCTACTCCATTATAACCACTGCCAATGCTGCAAAGAGCGACTCCAACACTTTGACAAAACCCGCTCCAATCATGTTTCACGGCCCTCATGAGGCATAAAGCATCAGGGCAGTGCAGCGCCACTCGGAGGCCAGTGTCCACACAAAATGTCATTTTATTCCTTTTTGTAATTGAACTATTCAGCTATGCAGTCAAGGTTTTTCAGGCAACAATCAGAGCCAGTTGAGACCTGGGCCAAGGCACTGGCTTTGAAGGTCGTTGCAGGAGAATAAACTTAAATGGCAACATTTTTAATTACTTTCTATCCTTCTGTTTTTGCTATTCCCTGCACATTGTCTGAGTTCTTGACTCAGTTTGAAAACAGTCCCAGTGTTATATTCACAGCACAGTTCCTATGATCCTTCAAGTCTTTCTGTTCTACACCAGCTGAATGATTGTTCTTGATGTAGAAAATGTTTGTATTACGCTCAGTTTAAAATGGACAGCTTGACAAAGATGACACAGTGAGGCAATTTATTAAATAAGGCAAATTGCAGCTGCTCATCCCTAATAATCCAATGACTTATTTGTATGTATACTGGAAATTCAACTTTCTGTCTAACCCTGAAGGTTTGCAGGTGTCAGTAACATGAACGACCAAGTGTAAAGTAACCAACATCTGTTGGACATCTGTCTGCTCTCCTCCTATAAATGACACCAGGCTGTAGGTCTACGTCGATAAACCTCCAAGATTGTTAAGTTCTCCTGGTTTTGTCAGGGCTCTGCAAATGTGAATTACTAACTATTGATTTTGGAATAAATAAAATTAAAAAAAAAATTCAATCAATACACATTACATGTGTTATCTAAAGACTGGGTCTTTAAAAACCACTTAACAATAATTTTGCCTTTTGGAAGAAGACAGACAAGACTATGCTGCTAGCTTCTTTCTTACAAAAGTAAACAAATATTAAATTATTTGATAAAAATTATCTGGAAAAATTAACCTTGAAAACATAAAGTAAATATTCTGTCTTACTTCTGGTTTCTGATTTTAAAAGCAGCTAAATGGACAGCAGTTCCTTCTTCAGTAAAATCACCTGGTTTTAACAGTGATGTGAAATAATACAAATGGAAGCTGAGTTTTGGCAGGTAGTGCTGAGTGCAGACGTGCTGCGGAGGTTTCAGATGGGGAAATTCCATATACACTCGACTGAAGTCATCCTCTAACACACACACACACACACAGAGGCAGTAACCATATGGCTCCACTGTGTGACTAAATGGTACTATGCAGTCAATCTGCATAAGCACAACAGAGCAGCCCGGTTTTGTGTGTGCGTGCGTGCGTGCGTGCACAACCAAAGAAAGCTATGCAATAGTCAAAGCAGCCAGAGCTGCAACACTCACGCACACGCATACACATATACACACTTCTTTTCAAACGGAGGGGGCCAGTGGCAACTTCAGAGAGTTTTTTTTTCACAGGAGACGGGGGAGGGGTGGGAGGTTGGAGAGGGGAGTCAGGTTTCTTTAAAAAGACTTGCAAACAGAGAGTGAGAGAATTCTCAGAGAAAGTCTTGAGTCGTCTCAGTCATTTATCATTCTTTTTCTTCACTCTTTTAGACAGAAAAACACTGTTCACTTTCCCCCATGTATACTCACCCGCACACATAAGATGTATAGTATATGTTGTAATGCCACAAATGTTTGTATACAGTTATGCTTATGCTGAACTGGTCAATTGTATGAATACAATTAACATGTTTGGTTCTATTGAACAGTAATTCCCTCATAAATGTTAGCATCATGGAATGTTAGCTTCTCCCAGGTCTCCATTTCAGCCTTTGCTATTTCTGTCACAAGAGGTGTTTGACTACTCAGTAGAGAAAGATTGCGGGGCCTCCATCTTTTCACTCTCCATCTTAACTCTGCATATACTTTACTTAAGCAATGTTGAGTCAGCAAGGCCTAAAAGAAACCACACAGCTTCAGCTTCATGTTCACATGACAAATTATTTCAATCCTGGGCATAAATTAAAATTGTGATAAATTTGAAATGTTGGAATTTCCTCCTAATTCAAATACTGCTTTTACATTTTTTGTTTTGTTTTGTTTTTTGCCCAGGTGACCCAGACCCAGGTGAAAATGTTGTTTTCTTCTACATTTTCCACATTTTCTTCTGCTTAGAAATCTGTTTTTAAAACTCGGGACTTAAGGATCTTAAATGTAGAGTGTAAGGACTCTTTGTGGGGGTGAGGGAGGATGAATGGATGCAGGTATTTCTATAATTATAATAAGTGGCACCACAGGAAGTTTTGGGAATATGAAGTACTGATATTAACGTTTGAAACTGTAAAGCTTAAATAAAAATGATCTGAGCTTCAGCAGAGGATTCAGTTGGTCTACTGAAACTTGATGAGTTTGGTTTCTAAAATGCAAACCACAACATATGACATCTTTATTTCATATTTAACTGAATTAAAAACAGATTTGAAGCAAAACATTTACACATTTGTTTCCACCGGATTTAAGAAGTTTTTAGTTACACTCATCAGATAGAAAAAAGCTGTGAATCCGTTGAGTGCATTATAATGGCAAGATCAAAGCTGTTCTCAAGTGTAAACACCGTCCTGTCAGCAAGGTGAGTTTGTCTTTTGTCTTATGTGTAACAAAATAACCAAAATCACACTTCACACAGACACTCAAATTAAGTGAACGTTCAAGAGGAAAGAGAAAGAAAGAAACTGAGGCAGATGTACAATGGAAACGTCTTCACACCCAGCAGCAATTTCTTTTCAACGGTATAAAAACAACTCTGAAATGTGGAGAAAAAAAGCCCTTTGAGGTGGGTCCTTTCACCCTCTCAGAGAAAGAGAGAGAGGGAGTCAGAGAAGGAGGAAGGGAGGGAGGGAGAGAAGGAAAAAAGGAGCAACCAGCCCCTTTCAATTGGTAAGCATTCAGCCAGAAAGCTCAGGCATTCACTCTTTCTGTCTGGTTTTCAGTCTTTCTTATCTCAGCTGCTATAAAAACATGTTAATGCCAGAAAATTTGGCCAGTTTCACATATTAGTCGACCTCCACAAAATCGTAGGGAGAGTAGTGATTCATAGGCAAAACCAGAGAAGTCGTAGAAGGGCAAAGAAGAATACATGGGGGGGGCATAGAACACTGTTATTGTGAAGTGCAAAGAAGCAGAGTGTGAGACCCTGGGAGACTGAGGGAGAATGGACAACACCTGCTTTATAGCAGCTATAGAAGTCTTGGTGAGGGGGGGGGAAGGGCAACAAGAATATCAACCACCCCAACCCCGCCTCACTTTGTTGCCCTCAGCTTCAGAGTCTCCGGTTTAGAGATCCTAAGGACTCCACCTTAGGATCATTGTTTAGTGATTATCGTAACATGTTCCTGAAGCTGAAATCTGTCAGCAAATGATTCTAAAAAGAGGGAATGGTGAATGGTGGCTGGAGTACTTTGGAGAAGAGTCTGACATCGACTGGTAAAACGTGGATGAAGAAAACCACAAACAGTGCAAATGGAACTTCTTCATTGTTCTGAGGTGTATTCTGGTGCTTCCTCATTAAATAACAAGAAGTGTAGATCTTCAACCAGCCACAGGGGGACACAGAGAAGCTTGTCACATGGTATGAACTTTTGTGGAGGTTGCATTCTATGAATTACTAACAGACAAAAAGACAAGAAGACTAAATCACACCACATTGTTTTGACTTGGCTTCAACCCAGCTCTCAGGTTCAGGTTCAGGTTCAGGTGCAGGTTCTTAGTCTTGTCCTGAGTCCAGATTTAGTTTTTCTTACATATGAAAAGAAATCATTCCTAATTACTGTGCAGGAATCTGTACTTTGGTAGATTCATAAATCATACAAAAGGTTGGTACACTCTCACACTAGCCTTCATTAGCCTGACTATTTTAACCATATCTGTTTAACATACATTTATTTAAAAAATAACTGCAATTTAAATTGAGAGTTTTTTTTTTCCCTGAATACATTTTGAGATATCTGTGTGACAGTAAGAATTTAAACAAAGGTGAAAATAATGTTAATTTAAATAGCATGGCTTTAAAGTGCTTTGAACAAAAAGAACCAAAAAGAAATCTATATATAAGCAGTGTTTTCTGATCACTACAGTATTCTCTTCAGCTGACAGCCATGTGGTTGCAGGTTTTCATAAATACATCACCAGCCAGAAGTAGAAGAAGAAGAAGAGAAAAATCATCTGCTCCAGTTGGAAATGAGACCAAACAGATTTTTGGCTAATAAAAACATCAAAGCACTATGACGTGGAGACCAGGTTGACTTAGGTCAGGACAGTGAGCACATTACAGAGCCTACACTGAACAATGTTGCCCATTAATCAAAGCCAATGATTCTCTGCCACATGGACCCAAATTTTTTATAGTTCTCATAATATTGAAAATGATCGTAACTTAGTGTTTCATCCTCCTACATGCTGATCTCGGTAGGGCGTCACGTTGCCTCCCGATTGCTATCATGTGAGCTACTGGTCTGCTGCTTGTGCAGATTTTTATCCATAAAGTGAGGGAGGAATGTAGTGGATTGGACAACCAAATGTTTCAGATCAGTTTCAATCCAAATGCTAGAGTATAAAAACTAATCACTAATAATCTAGTTCTCAGCCTTTTCAGACACAGACATTCCCTTTATGCTTCAACCCTGAGCACCTGAGCACGCCAGCTCTTCATATAGCTAACTCAGAGATACTAGCTAACGACCCTGGGGCACGGCTTTAAATGTTGTAGAGTTGGAGATAAACGACAAACACACGTTTTCATCTCTTTAACCAAACTTGTCGTAGGCTACCTGAAAATGAAACCACAGGTTGCTTCTCAGACCGCAGACTCTTAGACTTACCTCTATCTTGTCTGTTTTAGCATCTCCCCAGTAAAGTTTTCCGGCTGTGTGATCTAAGGCCAGTCCATTTGGCCAGCCCAGAGAACTGTTGAGCAGAACAAGCCGGTCTGTTCCATCCAAATTGGCTCGTTCGATCTTTGGATGCTCACCCCAGTCAGTCCAGTACATGAAGCTTTAAGGGATGGAGGTAACGTCAACAGACTTAAACACTGTATTGTCTTTTATAGTAGTTTTTTACTTTGATTTGTTCAAAAACTGTAAAGCGATAAGTGATAGATTGCTAAAAAAAGAAGCTAATACCTGGCATATTAATGTCATAATTAAGTTTTAAATGGTTCATAGTCGTCAGTACCCACCCATTAACTGGATCCAGGACAATTGCTCTGGGTTCATCAAGGTTCTCAGAAATCAAAATTTTGCGAAAGGTTCCATTCAGTCTGGTAACCTAAAAAAATACCATCCACATTTAAACACATTTTTACAACTGCTTACAACAGAGGCTGTATGCTTTAGCATATGATATTCTGCTTTTTTGCATTCCCCTCCTTCTGTGTTACTGTTTTATGATAGTAAGAACTTTTCTGGAACTTAGCTGTACCTCAATACGGTCAGTTCCAGTATCAGTCCAGTAAAGGTTTCTGGCCACCCAGTCCACAGCGACGCCATCTGGATGGTTGATCTCCGTGGTAACCAGCATCATGGCATTGCTACCATCAATATGACATCGCCTGATAGCCCGAACTTCATCATCTGTCCAATAGACATAACCTTCAATTGGGTCATAGTCAATGGCAATGGCGTGACGGATGTCATCGACCTGCATATGTGAAAATAGATACAACCTCATAAATATGCAAAAAAGTGCAGCACAACAACTCGTGTGTTAAATGGTAAATGTATTAACCTGAAGTACGATGTCAGTAAAGTCCGGTAAGTCCAGTGAGATTCTCCTTAGGTCAGTTCGTCGAGCAAGCAGCAGGACTTGCTCTGCCCCTGAAAAAGCAAAAATACTAAATTACGTGGAACTTTGACAAACTCCCCTAAGCTAGCCCTTTCATCCATTTGATCATCACAGCAGAGTTTACCACCATTAGATAGATATTAAGGAATAACAGAGCAGAACCAAGTCACATGACTTGGTATATGAATTAGAGCCAAAACTTACAGCCCAATATCAGTCTCTTTGAGGTGAAGAACATTTCAAGGTTGAGCCAAAGTCTTTTTCCTACATCACTCTCCTGTTCAGAGCCATCCTTCCATGTGTTTGGTTCAGTTTTTAACAGATTCCAAACTCACCTCATGGGAGACAATTAATGGTTTTTCTTTGCCTTTCACACCTCTGTATCTAAAGAGCTCATGTGAAAGGCACTTCAAAGTGTCTCTCTTACTACCGTTCTGTCTCTCTCTGTCTCTCTCTCTGTCTCTCTGTTCTATTGTCTTACCTGCCTCTCCTGTCTTCCACTTCTGATCAAATCACTCAGACTCCATAGGGAAAAAAAGCCAAACAACAATACTGATATTTTGAGTTTGTCAGTCAACATTGATGTCAGATAACAAAAAAATTATAAAATGTTTATGTATAATTTTAAATGCAAAATTATACATGTATGTAAACACATGGGTTTCTCGACAGTCAGCCTCAGCACCAATCAGATTTGATTTTTTTGTTCTGTTGTTCTAACCAGGGATAAGACACTACTGCAAGTGCAATAACTAACAGCTTCAATTTAACCACCAGCCAAGCAAATCAAATTAGAAGCTTGGACACAAAGACATAGAGAGAGACACAAGCACAAGCACACACACATACACACACCAATTTAGATTTGATTTTTTTGTTCTATTGTTAAGTGACCAGGGATAAGACAAGGGATTGATGCAGAGGAAGGATGAATAAACAACCTGGAAGAAAAACTTCTGTGATTCTACTCTTCTAACTGGTTGACTTTATTCTGAGACGCCTAAGGCAGTTCATGTCTACACACACACACACACAAGCTTTCAGTAACAATAGTGCATTGTTATTTTTGTAGTGCACAGTGGCAGAGTGACAGACTAGTAAACTTCAGTGAAATAATAATAATAATCTGTTCCCATTAGCACAGACACTAACACTGACAGTGTTGTGTTTTTAACAGGATAAGGTTCTGTTGTTTTAATATC